CTTCCAATCCTTTGTTCAAAATTACAAGTTCCGGATTCTATTCAATGGATTTAAGTAAATTTTTATTGTTGTTTCTGAAATGTTAGGTTAAGGTTACAAAAAAAATAAAAAAATAAAAAAAAATGAAGGGTACAAATGTCATACAAAATAAATTGTAGAACAAAAAGAATAAAAAAATTCGACTACTTTCCCCACCCATATTGCAGCTGTTGCTGACCAAGTCTTCAAGAGATTCTTTCATTCAAGTTGGAAATGAGGGCGTAATGGTTGCTCTCATAACACGCAGTCATGAATGCTGTCAGAGTTACGTGATGAATGTTATTATCCTTATCCAATAACTTATGAAGGAACAATGCTGCCATGCCTACTTTCTTCTCACAGCAAAGCTTCCTCACCAAGGTATTTACTGTCCGGAGCCAAAGCCTTTTCTCCAGTCTTTCCAAGAGAATCATGGCTGTTGCAGAATCGTCTTTCTTGCAATACTCATAAGCTAGTGTTAGCCGAGTTACTTCAGAAGGGGAGAGCCCTTTATCCATCATGGTCTCGTACAATTGGCATGCCTCATCCAACTTGGATTCTTTGCAAAGTCCGCTTATCAGAGCTCCATATGTGAAGCTATCCGGTGCACAACCATGGACATCCATCCTGTGGAAAAGCTTCAGTGCTGTCTTTACATGTCCATCTCTGCAGTACCCACCAATCATGGATGTGTATGTTTCCTTCGTTGGAACCAGGCCCAGTTTCAATGCTTCCTCAAATAGTTTCTGACTCTCTTTCATTCTGTTTTGCCTAGAGAATGTAGCAATCAATGTGTTATATGAACGCATATCAGGCTCAATGCCAACTTTAACCATCTTTCCCAAAAATGCCATGGCTCCTTTAATATTAGCATGTTTGCAGTGCTCAGATATGAGAATGGTGTAGGTAACTCTATCAGGTTGGAGTCCACGTTTAAAGGCTTCCCTTAGCAGTTTATAGGCTTCTTGAATCCTTCCCTTCTCACGAAGGCCATTCACAATTGCATTGTATGTGCATATATTGGGAACGAAACCCTCTTCACCCATTAAATCCATTAATTCATATGCCCTGTCAAAATTTCCTAATTTACAATGACCATCAATAAGAGTAGTATACGTATTGCAGTTGGCAACTAGTCCCTGCTCTTTCATTCTGGTCAATAACATCTCTGCCCGGTTCAATTTCTCCTCTTTGCAATATCCATTGATCATAGAAGTATATGTATGTACATTAGGCTTGTACTGTTCACTTCTAACAAGCTTCAGAAACAACCTAAAAGCCTTCTCAGTCCATCCCTTCTTGCAAAGCCCATCAATCAAAGCCGTATGTGTATACACATTAGGCTTCCACCCTTCCCTAACCATTTCTTCCAACATTTCAAATGCTTGCTTAATGCTGCCCCTCTTACATAACCCATTAATCAAGCATGTAAAATTGATCATATTTGGTCTTAAGCCCATCTTAACCATCTTATCAAAATACCAAAACGCTCTACTAACAAAACCCTTCTTAGAAAATGCACCGACAACTAGCGTGCATGTAGCACTATCAACAACAAATCCTCTCTCAACCATTTCTCCTAACCACCTATCTGCCTCCAAAATCATCCCCGCTCTACAATACCCAACAACCATCAACTTATAACTGCTACAATCCGCACAAACACCTCTCTCGGACATTTCATCAAACACCTTCTCCGCGTAATCAAGCAAACCCATTTCCCCAGCCAAACCCAGAACACAATTCAAAGTCAATGTACTCGGTGTCAATCCATGGTTCTGCATCTCAATTACCATACTAACGGCATCCTTCAACCTCCCAACCTCCGCAAAACTCCTTACCATACACTGCATAACTTCATGAGCCTTTTCAAAATTCCCATTACCGATCAAAGAAGTAGCAGTAACCAAATACAACCTCATGAAATGTCTAAACTTTGAAACTCCAAGTACCCAATAAAAGAAACTCAACGCAACCATGGAACCCGCTTCACTCGCCAGTGAAGCTACAACGGTGATTGCTTGTTCGTGGGTCAAAGAATACGGATTGACATTGATGTCAGGCATTGGAGGCGATAATCTCATGTGGGCATGTCGGTGATAGGAATCACACACCTGGGCGCAGATTGCTTTGACGAGAGACTGGGACGGCTCCGGTGATTGGGATTGTGGAATGGTCTGCGTCTCAGTGTCATCGGCAGGACAATGGAAACGAAACAACCGGAGAATAAAGAAGGGACTGGTTGATCGGATGTGTTTGAGCACATAGGATCGGACGATTGGAGAAGGGAACATGAAAGGTTTCAGAAGATGAAATCAAAATATTGTCAGGTTCCGACCTCAAATAAGTAAATTTCATACTACAAGGATTTAGACATGATCGATTATTTATGTTGTAATCAAACTGAAAAAACAAATAAAAATAATTTCGCCGTTGCCGGGGATCGAACCCGGGTCGCCCGCGTGACAGGCGGGAATACTTACCACTATACTACAACGACTTTAACACTCTTATCTCTGGGCAATTAATTAAATTTAATAAATTTAGCACATAGGAAGAGAATATTTGGGCTTTTGAAAGGGCCCAAAACTAAGACCCAAGTTTCTTGATCCGTCTAAGTTTCCTGGGGAACACTGAATCTATACAAAAAAAAAAAAAAAAAAGTTGGATTTTTTTGAGAGAGATAAATAAGCAAATTTTAATGTAAAATATTGTGTATGACATGTTCTAGAGCTTTGCTTTATTTTTTTTACAATCCAAAGATAGACCTAAAAAAAAGGCATGACCTTCTTGAGCCAAAGTGGAAATAGAAGTGGGAAACGAAGGGAAGATTCCATGTTACTTGTATTTGTCTCTTTAGCTAAGCACTATTTCACCAACCAAAAGAAATAAAGCTAACGAAGGGCTACAATCCTAATTTGCACTTGATTGATCCTTGATGATCACCAAAATAATTAAGAAAAAAGTGAAGAAGCGAACTTCAACCCCACAAAGCAAAAAGCAAAAAGACAAGCAGTTAGCAAATACCTATCTGCCACAGTTATTGGGAACAACAAACTTTTCTAAGCAAAATTTAACAAACATCGTGGGTTTGATTCAATCTTCCTTGGAGGAAAAAGGGGAAGATTTAAAAAGATCATTCACGAGTCATCACAGAGGACTTAACTATTGTTCTTATGTTATCATGGAACCAAAATTTCATCAATGGGGTCTCACTCGGTTTGATGAGTAGGTGGAGCAAAAGAGTTCCATTTCTGAGAAAACTATTCATCCATTTGATTAAGGGGCGGTAAGAAGAAGATGGTCCATGGACAATCACATGCCAATAACTTTACATGATTGCTAGTGTGTTTCATAGTAGTGTATGTGTACCATACTATGGAAGTGTTGCTATAAACAAAGGTGACCTACTTGAGGCCATGTTACTTGTCAAGAACAAAAGCATCTTGACGGTCCAAATGTTCTCCTAATAGGAGTCATTAGCAGGCAATTTTTTTAATGCGGATACATTAAAGGATTTCATTTCTCTCTCACCAGATTCTTCTGTTTAATAAGTGCTGGCCCCATTTTCTTTTTCTATAGAAAATGAACATCCCTTTTTTTTTTTTTTTTTTTTTTTTTGTTTGTTCCTCTTTCTTCTTTTTTTTTTTTTTTTTTTACTTGATTGCAAGTAAAAGGTCATGACATAAATAGTCAAATATCTTGAAAGAAAAGAAATGGAGAAGATCCAAAAGAAAGGCATCACATGCTTGCTCTTACCTCAGGGCACACCCATCATTTGCTTTCTCCTTTAATGTTTTCCATTTCTTATACCCTAACTTTCTTTCATGTATGCATTTTCCTGCCTCAAGACTCAACCATAGAAAAGAAGCAAGGTGGCAAGAGGGAAATTTTAAGATGAAAGGAAGGAATCAGTTTAGAATATAGTAAGAAGTATCCAAGAGTATTAAACAATAGCTGTCTAGGCTCCATTGTTGATCCCAAAATGATAATAGGTTTTCTGGTTTAGGGGTGACCACAGATTAATTATGTGAAATGGGTTCGGTAGCTCTACTTGTGTTTTTCAATCGTAGTAAAAGGGTAGAAGACAAAAGTGGAACAGCATAGTTTTATCATTAAAAAGTAGACAATGATAGAAATTAATTATGCAACCCTGCAAACCACTGTGAGCCACATAG